ACTATGAACACACACTTATAACCATGCTATGCTACACATATGTGAGTTTTGTGCTTCTGCTTGGATCATAACTGGAGATCCGCCAGTCTCATGTGAACCAGAATGCTGTACGGGCCCAACACGCAAACCATACCCCTATGCTGGATCTTCATTGATGACAGAAGGCAGGAAGTGAGAGTGTTTTTATCTTTTTCATCAGAAAGGAGAACTGAAAGGTAGTGTCTTCAAGCATCTGTTTTGTTTGTTCTCTTTAACCAATCATATGCTGTATCTTCTTGACAACATGTCAATGGTTTGACCAATCGCAGCTCACACACATTTCTTTAGATATTACACATAAAGGTTTGGAAGATGGTATGTGCTATGTTATGCATTCAAAAGGCGGATGCTTTGTGCTCACAAATCCAACAACGAATTGAGATTGAGCATACGTGTATATTTGGGTGACACTTTACAATATAGTTTAATTAGTTAATGTTATTTAAAGGCTTAAAGGTGCAGTAGGTGATCGTCTTCACAAACATTTGGTGGTTGAAAGTCTCTTCACGTTCCGGTAGTACTGATTAAAGTATATAATTTAAATGCATTTTTATATTCTGGGTAAGGCATAAGACTAAAAAAATGTTTGTCCAATTAAAATGTCGGGCCGATAATTCCCATAATTCTGATACGGAGCTCAAACTGTCCGTCAGCAAATGCAAATTTGCTTGCAGGAACCATACCGTACCGTAGCACTCTGTGAAACGTATGCTTTGGAGTGAAGGACCTGCACACCAGAACCAGTGGACGGTTTATTATTGCTGTCCCAGTGTCTGTCTATGCAGAGCTCAAGACACAGTACAATGAAGAAAACTTCAGTTTAAGAAGACAAAGCAGTCAACTCTGAATTAGAGTTATCAACAACAATAATGGGTTTAATGCATGTGACCGCTTTAAAGATTTAATACTTTAGCCTGGGTGTTTCTTTCAAATCATTACCATTAAAGAGGAGCAAAAACCATTTTTCCAGGCACCACTATAGTTATTAGTAAAATACAGCAGAGACGTGTGGCTGTGTTGTGACTGCTGCTGTCTAACAAATGGATTTGAATGCCGCTGCAGAGAAACAATGAATGGTCCATTGAGAGAAAAAGAGATAGAGATAGAGCGATAGCACTGCTAATCCTCTGATGGTTGAGGCCAAAGCAGGATTAGTGGAGTTCTGGGTGTAAAGCTTCTTCAAAGCACGGGTGAGCCCTGATGGTATAAATAGGGCTGCAGCATCTAAGCCAGCTTTCAGGAGCTGCTGATGTCCTCCTGCTCGTTCACTCGTCTGTCAGAGATCTGCAACTCATCACATTTGCACTTTCAACTCGAACGCAGCTTCTTTTGAGGGGACTGAGTATTAAGGGGATACTTCACCCAAAACATTCTGCCATCATTCACTCAGCCTTTACTTGTCCCAAACCTGTCTGAATTTCCCTTTTGTGTTGAACACAGAAGAAGAAATCTTGAAGAAATCTGAAAATAGGTTTCCTCTGTAAGCGTTTACAAGCAGAAGTTTACATGCACTGTATAAAAAGGCACATGACCATTTAAGAAGAAGTCAGATGTTAATGTGACTAAACGTTTTCTCTTTTAGGTAAGTTAGTGTTATCACATGTGTTTCTGTTCTGCTTAATAGCAGAGTAATGAGAGAGAGATTTATTGAGAAATTGTTATTTGTACTTTTCCTGAAAGTCAAGTTTACACACAATGAGATTATTCTGCCTCTGGAAAAGCTCAGATGATGATGTCAGGGTTTTGAAGGTTTCTGATTGGCTAATTGACAACATTTGAGTTAATGTGAGGCACAACTGTAGAATAATATTGAAGGAAAAGTTCAAACACACTGCTTCCTTCTGTGACAACATGAGAAAATCAACAAGCCAGAATCATCAACAAAGCCAGATTACCATTAGCTGAATGACACTGGGGAAAAGACTGATGTTAGGAGACATGTCCTGTGCTCTGATGGAGCTAAGATTGAACTGTTTGGCCATAATGAGCAGTGTTACATTTGGAGGACAAAGGGGAACAAGCCTAGAACACCATCCCAACTGTGCAGTATGGGGGCGGCAGCATTATGTTGTGGGGCTGTTCTGCTGCAGGAGGGACTGGTCCACTTCACAGCATAGATGGCATCAGGAAGAAAGAACATCATGGAGAAATACTGAAGCAACATCTCAAGACATCAGCCAGGACATTACAACTTGGCCACAAATGGCTCTTCCAAACCCTAAGCACACTGCCAAATTAGTTCAAATGTGCTTTAGGGACGACAGAGTGAATGTTTTGGAGTGGCCATCACAAAGCCCTGAACTCAATCCTATAGAGAATGTGTGGGCAGAGTTTAAAAAGCTTGTGCGAGCAAGACAGCCTACAAATCTGACTCAGTTACAGCAATTCTGTCAGGAGGAATGGGTCAAAACTCCTGCAAACTATTGTGAGAAGCTTGTGGAAGGAGACGCAAAACATCTGACCAAAGTTCTACAGTTTAAAAGCAAAGCTAAAAAATATCAAGGAAATGTGTGTAAACTTTTGACTGTCTAGAAATGAATAAAAAATTCTCTCATTATTCTGGCATGTAGCAAATGTAGATCATCCTGACGGACCTAAAATAGTAAACATTTAGTGTGATTTACCATCAGACATTTTTTAAAAATGGTTATGCTCCTTTTTTAGAGTATATGCAAACTTCTGCTTTCAGTATATTTGTTTTTAACTACTGTGGAAGTCAGGTTTTCAGCTTTCCTCAAAATATCTTCTTTAGTGTTTAACAGTAGACATAAACTCAAAGGTTTGGAACCACTTGAGAAAGAGTAAAGAGAGAATACAATTTCATTTTTGGTGAACTAACCCTTCACCTATAGTGTATGAGTGTGATTGAGTGTGTATGGATGTTTCCCAGAGATGGGTTGCAGCTGGAAGGGCATCCGCTGTATAAAACATGTGCTGGATAAGTTGGTGGTTCATTCCGCTGTGGCGACCCTGGATTAATAAAGGGACTAAGCTGACAAGGAAATGAATGAATGAATGTTTAGTACGCGAGTAAGTAAATGATGAGGAAATGAAAGATTTAGGGTGAACTATTTTTGGATAACCTTTAAATGCCCAGTGACTCCTGTTGTAAACTAAATTAAATTAAACTAAAGTCCATTCATTCATTCATTTTCTTTTCAGCTTAGTCCCTTTATTAATCAGGGGTCGCCACGGCGGAATGAACCGCCAACTTATCCAGCACGTTTTGCCCTTCCGACCGCAACCCATCACAGGGAAATAAACTAAAGTCTAAATAAAAATAATTTATAAAGTAATTTTTTTATGTTTTAAGCACAAATGTATTTTTTACACAAATCAAGACAACTGATTCAAAAAACCTTTGCGAGCGCCTGAGCGAACCTGCAGATTGAGCGATTAATTAACCAGCAGACGCCTCGCCGCCCAGTTTCCCATAGAGAAGCACAAACCAGCAGAACTACTCTATTCACACACCCACAGACTCACTGTTCACTGCCTCCACCTCACACACACACACACACACACACACACACACACACACACACACACACACACACACACACACACACACACACACACACACACACACACACACACACACACACACACACAGAGAGAGAGACACGTGTGCCAGTGCTACTGTAAAAATAGACATCTTAAAGAGGCAGCAGCTGCTTGAGAATCACTGAGTTAACTGACAGAGATCCTAAACCATCAGGAATCTTCACTGATATAATAGAGGTGAAGTTGGTTGTATATTGGGATATTCAGACATTCTCCTTAATAATATAATGTCAGAAAAGTATTGTAAATAGGGAAATCATATTAGCAGCAAATGACTATCAAAGTACAGCATTGTTCACAGTCAATTAGACAGTGTTAATGTTGTTTACAAGTCATACTTGCATGCTAATTCACATCCAATATGCTAAACAATATAGAGACTGCTACTGTAAATGAACGAACGTGCGATATATAAATCCTACATTAGCTTTTTGATGCATTAAACACAGCTTTCACTGCTAGATTTAATTCGATTTTCAAAAAAATACCGCAAAACAAAAATATTCACAGGATGCTTCATCACGTCTGCTGTCCAAGGATAGCTTTCATGACAGAAATGTGCACTCACATCAAACCAAAGCATTTGAATAGTCCAGTCAGTGTAATCAACAGCCATCGATGCACACACTTCTATAAATAAATATATTAATAAATCTATAGTTCTCCGAATGACTTACCGAATAATAACACGCCAATATTTCTTAAATGGAAATGAAAAGATCTACTACATGAGGTGGGATAGTGACTGAAATAGCCAAACAATGTTGAAATAAGTCCACGGTTCATTTTATAGAGGTAAATTTGCTTGTATATCGGGATATTCAGACATTCTCCTTAATAATATAATGTCAGAAAATTATTCTAAATAGGGAAATCATATTAGCAGCAAATGACTATCAAAGTACAGCATTGTTCACAGTCAATTAGACAGTGTTAATGTTGTTTACTAGTCATACTTGCATGCTAATACAGATCCAATATTCAGAGTAACATGTTAAACAATATAGAGACTGCTAAATGAACCAATGTGCCAATATAAAACCAACTTCACCTCTATCTTCATGAGGTGGGATAGTGACTGAAATAGCCAGACAAGGTTGAAATGAGTCCACAGTTCATTTTTGAGAGAGCAGAACTGCAAAGCCATGTCTGAGAGGCCCTATCAGCTTCCCTATTACCTCTTTCCAGCAGTTTCAACGCTGTCCTCTAAATGTGCTCCGCTCCCAACCCTGCGCTTGTGCTTTTCTATTAAGCCGGAGACTTTGAACAACACACACATTTGGACCCATCATTACTCAAATACCCACACAACATATCGTCTCACGAAGACTCTCAGTAACACTTATTCTGTCACACTTGTCAACAGAAGCACACACACACATTCAGAAGTGTCCTACCTCTCTGGGTGTCTGTTTATGGTGAGAAACACACTGAGTGATCATGGGAAGCAGCAGCAGCAGCAGCAGACAGGGATATCCAGTGTGATGCTCTAAACTGTGTGTTTTTCCTTGTCCTCACCTAGTCATTCTTTTGCTGTATCTTCTGTATTTTTCCTGTGTCACCCGTTGTGAGCAGGCTCCCTCTCTCTCTCTCTAACACATACACACACTCAGAGAGAGAGAGAGAGAGAGACTCACACACACACAAACTTCAGCTCGCTCGCCCTTTGTGACCCCCTCCTATCTCTCCCTCTCTCTGTGGGTGTATAATTAGACTCAGTCCTGTCGTGATGCAGCTTTCACTCATTGTGGGAACGTCTCTGAGCTGCTGGACGTGCTGGCAGGAAGCCGAGCAGCTTTGCTTATTAACCTCTTAAGAGCTGGGGAATGTGCCGGCAGAGCCTGCAGCCCATTGGTCACTTCCTCCTTCATCCCAGCCCAGGGCTGCTGTGATTGGCTGCAGCAGCACATGCTTCCATACGGCAGCTCGCATCATTGGCTCTGCTTCCGGCAGCTTGACCATCTGCATTGCTTTACGTTTGACCACCAAACTTTTCTATACTTACCTGACTGTGTTTTCTGGTGAAAGAGCATTCTGGTTTAGTTATGATCCGCCATGTGTGTGTGTGTGTGTGTGTGTGTGTGTTTTCCAAAAAGCATGTACACAGAAAAGAAAGAGCACACAAATTTTCAATGATTAATGCAACATCACTGTATGTTCAGTGTGACTAGCACATGGTCATACTGTCACATGGTGAGTGTGTGTGTGTGTGTGTGTACATTTTCCCTTGTGTGCTTTGGAGTAAAGAGAAGAAGACAGAAGCCGTACTCTCATTTCCTCTCCATCTCTAACATTCTCACTTCTGTTACACTGACATTATCTGACCGCTAACACACACACACACACACACACACACACGACAATCATGAAGGTGTAATTTTGCAGACACAGATACTGCGGAAGTGGTCAGTGCAGACAGAACAGAGGGCCTGGCGTCTGTGTCTGTGACCCGTCAGTAGATGATCATTACCAATGTCATCGGGTCAACTGAGATTTCAAGTACTGTTCAAGTACTGGTTCAGACACAAAGCCTAGTTTAAAATATTTTTGACACCCAAACCACCAGATATGAACCAAGAAAATTGGGGGAGCAAAGGACCAGGGTGGTGACGACAATGGAGGGAACCAGGAAGGAAACTGACAGGGCAGACCAGGGTGGGCCATTAGGAGCTGTAGGAGTCAGGTGGGACCCAGACCACAGCCAAGATGACAGCCCACTGTGAAGCCAACTGTCGGAGGAGTCATGGAGGACGCAGACTGGTAGAACTGAGGAATAGTGTTGAGTCGGTAGGATTGATGACCAGAGTGGATCCAATAGAGCAAAAGACAAGTGGGAAACTTACAGAGTTGGAGGCCTGACTGTGGCCAGCAGAGCTGCAAACAGAGCTGCAAAAAAACAGGAGAACAGGAGCTGAATCTGGTGCCAGAGCCACTGGACTGAGGTCGGAAACTGAAGCTGACACTGTTCTTGGCTCAGGAATTGAAGCCAACACTGCACTGAGCTCAGGAACTGGAGCTGACACTGGATTGGGCTAAGGGAATGGAGCTGACAAGGTACTGGGCTAGGAAACGAGTCGACACAAAACTGGACTCAGAAACTGGAGCTGCCATTGGACTGGGCTTGTGGACTGGAGCCAGCACTGGACTGGGCTTGGGGACTGGAGCCAACACTGGACTGGGCTTGGGGACTGGAGGCAACACTGGACAGGACTGGGATCGGGGACTGGAGCTAACACTGGACTGGTTTGAGAGCTGAAAATGACACTAGACTGGGCTCAAGGAATGGAGCAGAGACTGGACTTGTCTCAGGAACTGGTGCAGACACTTGAATGGGCTGGAGTACTAGTTTCACCACTGCATTGTGCTTGGGCACTGGAGCCAATACTGGACTGGGCTCAGGGACTGCAGTCATCACTGAACTGGGCTTGGGAACTGGAACAGACACTGCACTGGACTTGGGAACTGGAGCAGACACCGGTCTGGGCTCGGGGACTGGAGGCGACCCTGGACTGGACTTGGGAACTGAAGCCAGCATTGGACTGGGCTTGGGAAGTTGAGCAGATTCTGAACTTGACTGGGATCAGCAACTGGAGCCTATACTGGACTGGTCTCGCGGACTGGACTTGACACTGGACTGTTCTCAGGAACTAGATGCGACACTGGACAGGAGTCAGGGACTGGAGCTGACTTTGGACTGGGCTCGGAGAGTGGAGCTGACTCTGAACTGGCTTGGAAACTGGAGCAGACACTGGACTGGGCTCGGGAACTGGAGCCAACACTGGACTAGGCTCGGGAACTAGAGCTGACACCGGACTGGGCTCGGGGAGTGGAGCTGACTCTGGACTGAGCTTGGAAACTGGAGCCAACACTGGACTGTGATCGGGAACTGGAGCCAGCACCGGACTGGGCTCGGAGAGTGGAGCTGACTCTGGACTGAGCTTGGAAACTGGAGCAGACACTGGAATGTGATCGAGAACATGGGCCCACACCGGACTGGGCTCTGGGAGTGGACAGTGGAGCAGACATTGGAATGATGTGATCGGGCACTGGGGCCGACACCGGACTGAGCTCGAGGACTAAAGCCGACACTGGGCTGGGCTCAGGAACTTGTATCTCAGTGTCAACACAACTTCTATCTCAAACGTCACTCGAATATATTTTGTCTAAGTGATGTGCTCATCATCGCTCACACCATGTGATCTGCCAGGACTGAGGTAGCTGCAGCAAACCACAAGAACCTTGAAGTGTCTAACTTGACTCTGCTAATCTCATTGACTGCTACAGTTAAATGCATTATTAACCTTTGATACCAAAAAGCTGTTGAAATATAGAAGATATGGAATTGGGATAATACCTTGAAGTCAACAGCATTTATTTAATCCTAAACTGCTCAATAACACCGAACATGATTTATAATGAATTCGCTGCTATTCAGTTGCGTAATTAAACTGACACTGAATTGAGCTGATTACTAGCCCTATAGTATTGCTCTATCACTGAATTTAGATCAGCCTTTTTCCTCTTTTGTATAAAGTATAAGGAGTAGTAGACCAATAATATGAAGATCAGTGTTTATGGCTTTGTGCTATTTACACTATTTGACACCACACACTCAGAGGATTGCTATTAAATATCGTTAGATCTCTTTCTCACTCTGCATTCATCAATGAGAACTCAACAGTCTCAAGAAGACGAACGATGTCTTGAAAATGACTTCCAGTGCAGAGCGGTTCACTGCTGCCTCCATGGCAAGCGCACTCTTCTTCTTCAGACCTGCGTTTGTAGCTGAGTCAAAGACTTCCTCTGGAGTGATCAATTACTCTGACAGTGGTGTGGTATTTATAGTACTGTGATACTCCAGCCATGGCCAGCGAGGAAGAGAGAGAGAGAGAAAGGCCAGGTGGTCACATATTCACCAGCTGCACACTGAGACACCTTTTAATTTTGAATGCATTGATTAATTATTCTTTAAGGCCTGCACTTGTTCACCTTTCTCCTCTAGGACACACATCAGAGGACAGAACATCATTGGTTGGTCTTATCAACTATAGGGTGCGATGACTCACAGAGTTGATGAGTGAACTGAGCGAAAGTGTTCTGGAGAGTGTTTACATCCCTTCGTCTGCTTCCTTGTCCTCATCACCGCCTGCATCAGTGACTCCAGTGTCTCCAAGGCCCTGTTTTAATAATGGTGTTAGGAGTTTCATCAATCACATCACAAGTGCACAACTGGTTTAAGATGCCTTGTTGATGAGGCCAGAGCTCAAAGGAGAATGGCCAGACTGGTTCCAGCTGATAGAAAGGCAACAGTAACTCAAATAAGCACTCGCTACAACCGAGCTCTGCAGAAGAGCATCTCTGAACACACAACACGTCCAACCTTGAGGCGGATGGGCTACAGCAGCAGAAGAGCACACCGGGTGCCGCTCCTGTCAGCTAAGAACAGGAAACTGAGGCTACAATTCACACAGACTCACCAAAACTGGCCAATAGAAGATTGGAGAAACGTTGCTGCTCTGATGAGTCTCCATTTCTGCTGACACATTCAGATGCTCGGCTCACAATTTGGCCTCAACAACATGAAAGCATGGATCATCCTGCCTTTCCAGCAGGCACACAACATCATAAGACATTAATATTAGGTTACATTTAGATGTCTAGTCAACGTCTAAGGACAATGCTATTTTGATGTCCAATAACGATGTCAAATTACGTTGATATTTGGTTGATTTTAGGTTGTGTTGGAAAGTGACCAAAATCCAACATCTGATAGATGTCATAGTAGTAACGTCAACACAACGTCAAGCTGTAACATGATTAGATATTGATATTTGGTTGATTTTAGGTTGATTTTAGGTTGGACATTGACGTCGGCCTGATGTTGGGTTCTGATGTCAACCCGATTTTTGTCTCCATGACGTTGAGGTACAATGTCAATATGATGTCATGTTGACATCCTGTGCCTGCAGAGTTGTATCAGCGGTTCAGGCTGGTGGTGGTGGTGTAATGGTGTGGGGGAGATTTTCTTTGGGTCCATTAGTACCAATTGAGCATCAACGCCACAGCCTACCTGAGTATTGCTGCTGACCATGTCCATCCCTTTATGAGCACAGTGTCTCCATCTTCTGATGGCTACTTCCAGCAGGATAACGCAGCATGTCATGAAGCTCAATCATCTCAGACTGGTTTCTTGAACATGACGATGAGTTCACTGTACTCAAATGGCCTTCACAGTCACCAGAGCTCAATCCAATAGAGCAGCTTTGGGATGTGGTGGAACGGGAGATTGGCATCATGGATGTGCAGCCGACAAATCTGCAGCAACTGTGTGATGCTATCATGTCAATATGGAGCAAAATCTCTGAGGAATATTTCCAGTAGCTTACTGAATCTACAACACCAAGGATTAAGGTGGTTTTATAGACAAAGGGGGTCCAACCCGGTACTAATTTTACAATGGACTTTTCACTAACCTTCATATATTTCTATGTGCACCTGATTGCCTTTAAAGTTCCACCTTGGCTTCTTCATGTTGTGTTAATGAAGATCCTGCTGCTGTTTCTTATCATCACAGTTCTAGTCAACTGTTTTCAATCAATGCTGAGTGATTAGATGAACAGCTCTTTCTGCAAATGGCAGACGATGATGCCCACAGTGTGTAACACTAGGAGCCACGGGGCCGTGTCAGCACAAACACAGGTGCATTTCGCATCAAACACCAAACACATGGACTTCTAATTATCCCTTAAATGCACACGACCATAAGACATCGACA